GAATCAATCCTCATTCATATTTCTGGCACTGAAGGTAAGAATGAAGAAAACACATAATCAGAGAAAAAAAGTTAAACCAATTCTTCATATTATGATTCTTTCTCACCTTCTCTACTCCTCTTTCCATTCGTATTTAGAACAGGTAGAAAATATTAAAGGAAGCTTGAGGCAAAAATATTTGTGATAAGCCCAATTACCAACAAAAGCATCATTATTATATACTTTTCTATTTTAAAGCAATGTCAATTCATACTGCATTTCCCCCCAAACATTAAAAAATACAGCAACATTGGGAACATTAAAGTAACACTAGGCAGTCTTGTAATATATTTTGCAATATTTTTTCCTTTCATCCTTAACTGCTACCAGTTGTTGGTGTAACCATCATGAGAAAGAAAGGCTCGCTAGTCATAAATACTATGAGTATAATGAGAATGATTCCCCTCAAGGGAAGATGAGACTGTACTGATTCAGGCTGTTCCTGATCCTGATGTCCAATCACAAATGACAAGAACATTGTGTTTGATCTTCTACAAATCTCATTTTGTAAAGAATAACCTGATTATTTATTGGGGAACTATTGATTTCAGAGTAATGGTTGAACTCTGAGCGAATTATTTGTCAGAAGTAGTATGTAATCAGGAGTACTACTGTGACACTATCCTGTAGTTGGAAATAAAAGATATTTAACATCAGAGACTACATTTTATCTTCAGATTTTTTGCACAAACGGCAGTTAATGGAATGGACAAACGCTTTTGCCAATGTACTGTATTCTGTAATTCATGCCTGAACTGTGTAGGTTGGTGTTTAACACAGAATGTTTTTTTGACACAACCTTACTTTGCTCCTAGATATCTCTGCTTTGAGTGCAATACTTCATCTAGAGAAAGCCCACAGTAGAACCACAGATCCCTTTCAGCCTCACATGGCTTTTAGGGCAGGGTTGTGTCCCTTAATGTGGGACAGTGATTCTGAAAAGAACTTAAAACTCTTGGTAGATAACTAGTTCCACATGATCTCTAGTGTGAAGCAGTAAGTAAAATGTTTGATGCAACCCTTATTCTGGCTTCCCTATAGCAAGATTTACAGTGTTAGCAAAACTGGATAAATTTAGGTTGATTCTTCCTTTGTTATTCAGCAAGACAGTGAGACACCATTTGCCACCATGTTTAGTAGCTGTTAGGCTACATAAATATATCTAAACTTTCTAGACTCCATTTGTGAATTTGGTTCTCCAGCACTAGTGAATATCCTATGTTAGTGAATTTGACAACTGAATTGTTTGCTAGGTAAAAACCTACATCCTTCTTCATTTAAAATCTCCCACAACATTTAACTGGGAGTATGTTGCTTTTTGAGATACAAGAAATAATGAATATCTCACGACACTCAGTATAGCAGCTCTGTCAGATCACTTCATGTGGCCAAATTGAACTCCTCTAGTGTTTTCTGTTTTCCTAATGTGGGTGGACTTCCATATTTTCCTATATACCTGAACAGCATGCTGCTTTTCTCTGTGATTCTTGTTTCATTGTCTGTGAACCTTGTTTTTAGGGCTGACAGAAAACAGTAACAATTTTCAACCCCAAATAATTTTCTGCAGCCTTTTCCAATAAACAGTAATTATCTGTAGTTCTCTGGCTTGTGGTGGTTCCTGCTGTAGCAATAATCAAAACAGATAATATTTTCTCTAGTGCTTTGCTAACATTTTTACTCTTATAGATAAATCCAAAATAATTCCATTGGCATCAATGGAGCTACTTCAGATAGGCATCGCTGAAACTGAAAATATCATAATGATACCACGAAGAGCATCCTGTTTGAGGAAGGTTTTGTTGAAGATATAATTTCATAACATTATATTTTATGAATATATAAAGAAGATAAGAGAAAATGCATCTTCAAATTGGATTAAATTTGCTATTAATGCTATGAAGGAAAAGTCAAGAGAACATTACTCTGTCAGGCTATAATTGTACTTTTGCAGCTCATCAAGTCTTTATGCTGTATGCTTGTAGACGAGTAAGATGCACTTTACAACAGGGTGTAACATCAGTGCAGTTTGCCGAGCTGTACCACTAGGTGGAGGCAGATACTGCATAATTCACACCTAGTGAGCGGGGTTTGGTGTGCCATTGGAAGCCGTTTTCTCCAAAGGAGAGGTCCTGTATGGGAATGGAAGAGCGACAGGAGCTCGACAAGAAATAAGATGCTGCTGGCAGCTCATCAGTGTACCTTTGTCCTCTCTGAAGACAATAATCTTGGCTCTTACTTTAGTTCACATGCCGTGGATATGCTAGCTTGGCACTGCTGCCTGTCTGACATACATCCTTCAAGACACAAGCCTCACTGCCACCTGTGCTGGCCAGTTATTATTATATTATTATTGTTGTTGTTTGTTGCTATTTTCCCTTCCTTTTCTGTCCTAGTAAACTGTCTTTATCTCCACCCACAAAGTTTACTTTTTTTCCCATTTCCCTCCCCCATCCCACTGAAGAGGTTGGAGTGAGTGAGCAGCTGTGTGATGTTTAATTACCTGCTGGGTTAAACAGTGTCAGTCCTTTTTGGCACTAAACATGAGACACGAAGGTTTGAGATAAGAACAGATCTGACCAGAGCATGTTGAAACAAATTTGTTGTAAGTATTCATTGTATTAGTTTAATAGTCAGTGATCACAATGTTGATTTATTTGCTCTCAGAGTTGCTGTGCGTGTTCTCCAAGCCGCATTGTGTAAGCCGTACATGTTCCCTGCTGTGCCGTTTATCACCTCTGAGGAACAGGTTAACATTATTGTTTTGCTATACTGTGTAACACTGGCTTATGAGACGGTAAACTTTCTGGTTGTAAGACTGAACAGGTGTTTGTGCTCATCATCTCCGCGCATTGGGAGCCATCTGTCGGAAACTATTAATAATTACACATTTTACCTCGATAATTTTGATGAGTTTTAATATCCTCAGGATGTTCAAACCGGCATGATCCTATTGCTATGTCTCCTGAATGTGTTTCAGGTCCTGTTTAGGGTTACTGTCCTGATTTCAGCTGTGATAGATTTTTTTCTTTCTAGTAGCTGATACATATGCTGTGTTTTGGCTTTAGCATGAGAATAATGTTGATAACACACATGTTTTATTTGTTGCTGAGGAACATTTAAACTAAGTCAAGGACTTTACAGCTTCTCACTCCACCCCACTGGTCAGTAGGATGGGGGTGGACAAGAATCTCTGAGGATGCACAGCTGGAACAGCCGATCCCTGAGAGCTGACCAAAGGGATATTCTATACCCTATGGCATCATGTTCAGCATATAAACTGGGAGGAAAGCTGGCCATGGGCTTCTGCTTGGGGACTGCATTGACATCAGTCTGTGGGTGATGAGCAATTGCATTGTGCCTCCCTTGTTTTGTATATTGTAATTATTATTATTTTCCCTTCTTTTTCTCTGCTATTGAAGTGTCTTTATCTCAAGCTGCAAAATTTATTTTTTTCTGATTTCTCTCCTGCATCCTACTGAGGGGAGCAGGGATTGGGGGAGTAAGTGAGAAGCTGTGTGTGTTTACTCTTGGGCACTTGGTGTGACACTGGGGGATGGTCCTGTGCAGGGATAGGAGTTGAACTCTATGATCCTTATGGGTCCCTTCCAACTTGGCATATTCTGTGATATTCTGTGATATTCTGTGAACACAGGTTTATGCCTGTCTGTACTCATTTTTGTTTTCTGGAAATGTGGTGTTAATCTTTCACAGGAGAGAAGGAGAATTCCTGTTTGTTGTTTTGGTTTTTGTTTTTTTTTTCTCCCTTTTAATTTCAAAATACCTAAGAGATGTTGGAATATCACAGAGGACAATGGGATTCCCAGTCCACTACTTCTCAAACCTGCTCCTCTGGCAAGCCAGGGAGGACATGAAGCTGAAAAGCTTTTCTCTTTGGGAAAGCATCCCAAGCCATACCGAAGGAATCACTGTGGAGACCTCCTTTATGTTAAGCCATATGGCAAGCACACTGTGATTCTGAGGAGGCAGCAGTATGTACTATGAAGTGCCAGGACATGCATGGGAACTGAAAGCAAGCCAGGAAGAGGGTTTGTTCTTACATCAGTAAATGCACACAGGCTCTTTAGGTACTTATAAATCTGTTCGGAAAGATATTTGTCTGACTGTCTATCATGCATGCAGGAGTTATTTGATCCCCCAGTGAAACGCCAGAAGAAAAATGAAAACATTTGAAAACAGAGTATACATGCTTGGGTTTTTTTTTAAACTTCTTTTTATTGTTAGGTGAAATTGCGTAAGGTACAAATAAATCAAAATAAAAATTCAGGGAGACAAAGTGCAGCCCAGGAGTTTACTGCCTTAATTAGCCAGAAGTTTTAAATTGTTTTGAAAGACCAAAACAGTGAGATGTGAATTCCTTGGACTTTGCTAAGCATTTTCTTCAAGAGTTTGATGACTTTTTCCCTGTGGAAAAGAAGGAGAAAACATTGAGACTGTACTTGAAATTGACAATGCAGACAATGATGTTTTATTCTTGGTGTTCCTCTAGCGTGCCCTGAGGAAGGTGGTGCCTAAAGAAAAGCAAAGCTGGCAAAGTTTGCCTTGTGGGGTCAATTCTAGTAATATTCCCCCCACTGCTGTGAAGTTTCTGCCTTCGCTTAACTTGTTAAGTGGCACAGTATCTCTCATTTCCTGCCAGTAGCCCCACTCACTGAAATAGCTAATTTGCAGAACAACGTCCACAGGATTTACTTGGCAATATGTAGGTGTGCAGAAAGACAGTGTGCCCCACCACTGCACTGCTGCTCTGTCACCCCTTGGTTGCGTGGGGACACATTACAGAGGACACATAGTGGATGGAGTATGCAGGAATGTGTTTTTCTCAAGTTTGTTCCCCTTCTTTCTTTTTAGTAGTATGATGAGGCCCTTACAGTCAGGGAGAGTAGTTAAAACTGTACCCCAGTAGGTTTTATACTGAAAATCAAATCTCACAATGAATTTACCATATAACTTCTGAATTCCTCGCCTGTCGTCTTCTGGAAGTCTGAAGGTTGTTGGGTTCTGATATGAGTAGATAGGGTACATCAGAGCTCCACGGACATTTGAATGAGCAAGTCCCAAAGAATGGCCAAACTCATGAGCAGCAACAAGGAACAAATTAACCTCTTCAGCACAGAAGCAGAGAAAAGTATGTTAAAGGTATGGCATTTCTTTTTAGAATACTATGAATTGAAATAGCAGGAGAATTTGTATCTTTCATTCATCTTGGAATGAAACCCCAGGGTTTTGATCCATTATTGCTGAACTTTCTTATGTAACTGTAATATTTTATAGAAACATTACTGATCCTTTGCATACGCATCTAGAGACTCTGACTCCCTTTCCAACTGTGCTTATAGTCAACCTTTAAAATATGGACAGAGCTTTAAAATATGGACAGAGCAGGCATTATGTAGCTGCTAATCATAATGAAGCACAACTACTTGGAAAGTTAGTTGAAAAGAACACAAATTTTGGCATTGAAGCTGTACATAAGTGTAAAGAGTTATGGAAAACATTTCCTGTGTCTATGTTCTTCCAACATGTGCAATATTTGTCTTTCCCCTTCATGCACACATGTGGGCTTTACCTTGATTGAACTCTGACCATTTTTCGTCCTCATCAAAATGAACATCTCCACCAATCCCTTCTCCAGGTGCAAATGCATGGGCTAGTGTGTTACCTCTTCCATCAAAAGGATATCCATCACCATGCTCTGCATTTGAAAACAAATAAATGTCATCATATTACATCAGGTATTATATTTAAATTCATCAAATTGAAGCATGTTGCTTGGTTTTGCTAGTTTTGTTGGTTACCCATCCTTAAAAAAAAATCCTACAATGGCAGCAAGGTTGTGAAAATGAGAAGCAAGGCTTAGGAAACGCTCTCCAAATTAATGACTTAAGTTCAAAACTTGTATTTGATGGTTTAGGCTGCTTCACGTTTCAGAAAGGGCTGAATTTTTTTTTCTGAGCCTTTGTCAGAAGTGTGTTTCTGAGGCAGGAATCAGGGATTATTTCAGAATAAATATTTAATGCTTGACAGCATTGCAAAGACCTGAACATTTTCAATGTTGAAAAATACTGGGCAACATTAGTTGTAGACATTCTCACTTGCACTGATTTTAGTGTGAGACAGTGATGTGGAATAGATAACTATGTTCCTAAGTTCATTTATCCCCAGCCTTGGGGTATGGTCTATTATCCACTTCTATCATAGTGCGGGTGGAATATTACTGTTTCCTTCCTTGAATGCAAGAGCTGTACAAGAGTTGTACCAAGTCTGAAAATTTCCTCTTACCTCACAGTAGTCTCTAACTCTATTGAGGAGTATTTGGGGACTCAAATGCCATTCTGTCCCCTTTCCCCAGGACCATGTGGAGGGACCTTGGGGCAGGGCTAACACAGGCAGAAGAAACCTAATCCTAGTGTGTGACAATGGAATAAAACCCATTCCAGTTTGCAGGATCGCCTCCCACTTTGACTGTCACATTAAGTCACCTCTTTATGGCAACATAATATCCTTCCCATCAATGACATAGGAGGTTTGGACATTTTAGTGTTTATATGCAATCATCTGCTTGCCAGCCAAGGTGTCTGATCTTCATTTATAGTCAATGGAGCTCTAGTAAATATTGTCAATGGATCTAGAGAACAAGTCAGATAACCTTAAAGCAGGCATTTATTTTGTCTAAGCTGAGTCAGTTTAGGTTCCAGGCACAAGTTAAAGGTATGGCTAGCCTCATATAATATTCCAGATCACAAGCGAACTTCTGAAGTGACTTTACTGGTCATCCCCATTTACCATGCTTTGTCTTGCACCTTGGTGCAACCTTGGAGCGTAAAGCAACCAGAAGATACTCTCTTTGGCCAAACCTAATACACCTTGTCTGATGAAGGCTGTTTAATCCAGGGAACTAAACTAGATCTAGACCAAAGTAAACCTTCCCTAACCTGCTGGAATCCAGCCTGTGGAGGCTGGATCTTTGGAATATGCTGGTTTGCTCTACAGAGCTCTTCCTGTTAGTTTGCGCTATTTATCAAGGCAAACAGAGCCTTGAACATCTAAATTTAAATGCCTCTTTCTGGAGCTGAATTCTCCCTTTCATAGCCGTGGCTCTGAAAGAATTTTCTAATGATTTCATATGAGTAAAACTGAATCATGGCATACAAATTTGGTGACATGATAAATAGAAGATAAAATTTATGAAGACTTCAATATAATTACAAACTCTTTGTTCTTTCTTAAAACTATGGCTATAAAAATACATGCTTTGAGTCAAATATGGACCATTGTATTTTAAAAATGACAGGTATTCTCACCACGACGTGCAAATCCAATCTCAATGTCTGCACGGCCACGCTGTACTCTTTGGAAGTTCAGTGGAGTCACATCGCTCCATAGCATTAAAGCCTTTCTAATTGCATCATCCACTTTCCTTCTGGGTAGGTCAGGAGTATAATTGACAATCCTGGCAGCAAAAGGAAACAGATTAATGTCATTTAGGGTGTGAAGGAAACCCACATAGTTAAATACAAACAACCCTTTTCCTCGTAAAACCTAAACATCACTAACTTGTAAGTCAAATGTGTTTTTTTCCATCTTGGAGTTCCAGGAAATGTTTGGTATTCTGCTATGTCGGGTATTCCACATCTGGGCAGTTTCATTGTTTCTTCTGTTTCTGTATTTAATGTTCCAGTTACAGTCAGGTGGAAAAACCTCTGCATTTCTTTAATTCTGTCTTCTAAGGTTAAGCTTTTTGTTTTTGGAAAAAGTGGAAAGAATTTATCAAGATATACCTGGAAGAAGAGAAGGAAAATAAAAATTATTACATATAACTGTGAAGTTTTGATAATTGCATTTTATATTTGGTTGAATTGTTTCATCATCCTACAGTCATGTATTTTTCCTTCCCATTTCAGTTCACCAAATTCTGTTCTCTCTGTAGTATAAATCAACACATATAAAAAGAATTGCAATAGCAATGAAGCATTGTAAGCAAGAAATCCTTTAAAGTAAACACAATTTACTGAGCATTCAAATCTACAGCCTTCCAACACAGTCTACATAAAGTTTTTGAGATGTTTTAAAAATTACCTGCTCCCTTTTATTTACCAATTGCAACTTGGTCTGTTTTGTAAGTTGGACTTAGGATGTCTAAGCTAGTCAGCAAGTTTAAATTGCTCTTTTTCATCTCTGCAAAAACTGTTGTGGTAATGTAAAATAAGGACAATATAAACAGATAGGAAAGGAATGTAGACGCTGAATCAAAAATCAGATTATTCATCATGCAGTTACATTTTTCCCCTGATAACATACCTTTACTTTCTCAAGGTCTACGTTGCTCCATGGTTCGAGTTTCATGTGTACTGGAAAAGCAAGACTCTCAGGTAGGAGGATGGCAGCACAAAGTAGGAGATACTGCATGGTGCCCAGCTTGGTAAGGAGCCTTGCTGCAGCAGAAAGGGTCTGACTTCTGTCTCCCAAGACCACAGCTAAAAATGCTTATATAGATCCTGATAGGTCCAAGCAGCAGTTACATATGTGACTCACTTTTTGGTGGTGTTGATGTAATGTCATCACTGTTCTAAGAAGTAAATGAAAGCACATTAAACAAATCTTTCCTTCAACTGCAACTTCCCCATCGATGTCACGTCACAGGTAGCAGCCAGCTTTGTCTCTCTCTTTTCATATTATTCCAGTAGTGAAACCACAAAGTCACGGGGAAGTTCTCTTTCTGTAACTTTATCAGTACAGTTACTGTGTAATCACTTCTTACCGAGCTTCTCCCATGTTCCTTATACGAAAAGGTATTTTGTAACAGCCCTTTGGCTGCCTGCCTGTATCAATTGGTGTAGAGGCACACGATATGTATGCGAGCACTGTCTCAGTGAAACTGCTGCCATTACTACTGCCATTTCCTTAGTACCATGCACAACACTGCCCAGTTTAGTAAACTTTAAGAGGTTTCTGCAGTTTTCACAGAAATCAGAATAGAGCTCTTTAAATGTGCGTTCTAGAAATAGGAGGGCATGAGACACCTTTGTCCCCTTCCTACCAAAGATGGCCTTTCAGAAGAGTCTCTTTACATTGGAGAACTAGATATAAAACATAGCTTACAAGAATGGGTGAAAATTATCAGGGTAAAGAGAGGAGCTTACCCTAGCAAAGGTGGAGCTATCTTCTATCGCCAACTGTACCAGTGCAATCTGACAGAGGTCCATGAAGCACTACAGAGAAAACCAAAGGGGATCAGGGAAGCCACAACCTCTCTGGCCCCTTTACCAGCAATGGTCTCATCTTCATTAAACTCCACTGGAGAATTTTTGAGACCTGGAAACACCAGTTCACAGGCTGGTTTGTGATTTTTATTTTAAGGTATGCAGTTCTGTGATCATATTAGCTCTAATCTGAAAAGGAGAACCACATAGATAGGAAAAGATCATTACTATTTCTCACACTAGGACAGGCCATATGAGCATAGATGAACACGTATAGAAGAGTTTGTGAGTTACTGTCTTATGATGTTCAATGTACTTCTGGCTGATGTGATGAGAAAGAATTTAACTTCAGAGAGAGATGATCTATACCAAAACACTGCTGAACTATGCAAGAGAGGAATGCAGTACACAGCTATGCCTGAAATAGTTGATAAAGGAATGATGCTGCCACCTGATATTGAAAACAACCCAGTTATCCACGTATTATCATTTCTGTACATTTTGGTAGGCTTACAGGAAAAATATCCATGTCCAAATTTTAAAGCTTGATGAAAAAAAGCACCCTGTTTTATTACTGGGACCAGGTTCATCTTTTTCAACATCAGACTTAATGCCAGACTGTGGTAGTAAAGTTGGATCCGGACCAGGGTCTGGGTGGAAGTAGAGGAGGATGTGTTTAAACCACTTTGAACTCCATGACTCCAGTGTCTGGTACTGATTATTTCCTCATAGACACAAGAGGAAGGCTTCAGAGCTCCATTACAGTTGTTGAACTGTTGAGCAAGTCCCATTTATCTTTAGTTGGGCCATGGGCAAAACTGAAAAGGAGAGTTTAAACACAAGAGCTTGATGAAAAAGGACATGTACCATGTTCCATTTCATTTTCTGCTGGAAGCTTGTCAACTCTGATCTTTTTTTTTTTTTCCCCAAAAAGAGAGGAGATTTTGATGAACATTGGGATTGAACTGAAATAAAAAACTTTCAGTGAAAAGAAGTTTCAGTTCTTTGGGCTCAAAATCAGAAGGAATCAATCTAATTCTAATAAGATCAGTATAAAAAAGGAACAGATGCTGATTTTAGATTTAGCAGTGTGAATTTTACAGACTTTATTGCTTTGTCTTGATCTTGAATGACAAAAATTATTGTGGGTCAGGAAAGATAATTTCCTGCCCAAGCAGCATAGTCATATGATTTGTATTCAGCAGAGAGCCTGTACATCTGTGAGAGAACATGGCCAGTGTAGAGAAAATTTGAGGAGGTCAGAAGAAACACTGTTAAAGACACTTAATAAGAGAAGTTGCTGTAGCTACATGGTGATGATAAAAGTGTTCCATGGTCTAAAATTCTATTAAGAAGACTCACAATATTGCCATTGGAAAGTTTACACTGTGACATTTTCTGAGTAGAGTAACCCAACTTCGAACAAGGATGCTTCATGAAACAATGTCCTATGTGAAATTCATTGATGGGCACCAGGGCTTTTGAGTTCTAGAGAAAAATACATATATAAAAAGTAAGACCAGAGCCTCCTCTGGACATGAGTGGGATGAAAAAGTGCAGTAGATCTAAATGATTCAGTGGTGAATGATTGCTGTGTCTTGGTAATTTGGCTTGGATAGACAACTCAGCTGGATTCTACCCAATCTGGATGCAGCCAACAGAGTTAACAAAAGTCAAGAGCTGCTCAAATATCTTCATGAATATTATGGGTCTATCTAGGATAGAATAAATTTATTCATATCAGTCTATATGGTGCCGCATTTGGATTTGTGGCTTAACCAGTTTTTGATAACACACCCATGCTTTGGGTATTAGTGAAAAGTGTTTGCACAATGTCAAGACTTTCTCAGTTCACACTCTGCTCTCACAGTGTATGGTAGAGACTGTGTGGGAAACGGGCACATTCAGCACAGTTAACCTGAATTCTCCAAGGGGATATTCCATATGATATAATGTCATGCTCAACAACAAACCTGGTCTAGCAGAAGAAGAAGGTTGTCTTCCAAGACAATAATTTCCTGGAGGCTGGCTGGACATTAATCTGGGGAGCAGGTGGTGAGCCTGTGCATCTCTTCCCCCCACTTCCACCCTTCTTTTCACTTATTAAACTCTCTTCTGCACTTCATAATATCTCACCCATCCCCCCCATGCATAAGAAGAAAGTGACTATGTGGGTGATTAGCATCAGAGCTGGCTGTTGTTTACCCACTACAGTGGATATCAAGGAAAAAGAATGTCCAAAAATTCCTGAGAAATGTTTTGTTTGGGTGATTTGTGAACTATGTAATATAGTATGTAAAGTCCTACCAAACTGGATTGACCTGTTTTTCTATGGTATGCAGAACACATGATCAGTTTTGTTATTTGATTATTCATTTTGACTAATAAAAAATAAAATTCAAACATGGCAAATATTTTTGCAGAATAAAATGTTTTTTCGCACTGCAGTTTCTGAAGCTAAGTCCAGCAAGGCACAGTCTGATTCAGAACATTCCTAGTGTTTTTCCACAAAATAATCCTTCATCCTTCTTGTCTCATCTTTTCATGGCACAGTCATGGTTGTTACAGGCCATTTTTCTTGTCAGAGGCCTTGACTGTAGAGGGAGGCACATCTCCACACCTTCTGCACTCAGTTTCCACAGATTCCATAGACCCTGAGGGTCTCTTTTCAGATAGGTACCTTACCATCTGTGATACTGGGCTGTGGATCACTTTTACAGGCTGTGTGATTGTAAAAACCTCCAGTCATCTCTGTCTGGGCATTGAGGTCCTGCCATGACCTCTCAGCAGTGCGTCAGCCTGTCCCCAGAGAGAGGCAAGCCAGTTCTTCCCTCCTGTTTGGCTGGATCCAGATGCAATGAGCTATTTATCAGAAAGATCTACTTCACATCCCACTGCTTTAGGGAAGGAAAGGCCTGCGGAAGGGATTAGATGTTCAGGTTTAGCACAAACAATGTGGTGACAACTAGCACATCTAATTCACTAATAATTAAGCAATCAGACTTAACACATCTCAACTTGTTGATTTACCATTTTCTCACAGTGTCTAGAATTCCTTCACATTTAATGACTTTGTATTTACAACAATTTAATTAGGACATAATGTGGGAAAAAGATGCAAATATAGAGAGAAGTTTTTACCATAATACTCTTGAGCAATAAACAACAAGAGAAACAGCTTTCCTGTAAATGTTACCTATGTGTGTGAGTTCTAACACCCTTGTTTCTTTAATTTGTCTACTCCTTTGGTCAGTGATCCGACATCTCTCTTCCAACTAACACACACATACGGATCTCTCAAAAATTTCTATATAATAATTGGCTTTATTCAATTTAAATTGAAGTAATAGTTATAACCTTTAGTTGTACACAGAGTTTCTGTCCTCAAGAAGCATATGTACAGGACATGAGGAAGGGAAGGGGACAGGAGATCAGTCAGCTGCATTGCACTGCAGTGTGGGTCAAAATCCAACTGGGTAGGAAAAATGTCATAACTTCCCATAGTCAGCTTTCATTTGCAAATTCACTTTCCGTAGCTGACTGTCCACATCCATTTGTAAGCCTGTCATGATACTGTCTTTAAATGACTGAAACAAGATGTAATCTAAAGCAGTGCATACATCTTGTCTTGACAAAATCATATAATTTCATCTAGGAAATCTTTAACTTAGTAGTTGGATTGATATAAACTCAGACTCCCTGTAAACCTGCAGCAAATCTCTGTGAGAAACTGCAGAATCCTACCTAAAACAGAGTGATCATACAGTGGTGTTGTACGGGCAGGCAGAGTAGCTGTGACAGCACAGGAGGCATGCTGGACTTGATCTGTCCACACTGACTGTAACCTAAAAAAGGAGCAGTCAATGTCTGAAGCTCTTCCTGACTCATCCTGATGATCTGCACATATCCGTACATGCTGGGACAGCACAGTGAGTTTGGGCTTTGGTGATGATGGAGAGCAGGGTTTGAAAGACAGGATAGACACAGCATGACTTTACTTATGCTGAACCTAATGGACTTGTATAGATCTTTGGAAAAAGTGCTGGGAATATAAATGACATTAACCAAAGTTTTGTATTTCGCCTGATTTGTAAAATTCTACTTCTATAAAAAAATTAAACAACCCCGAAATACCAGAGAATTGATACAAGACTTCATTGTAAACTGACATGCAGTAAAGTAATTTCAGAGGAATTACAGGCTGACCTC